GACTACTAGGTGTTTGGGAAGATAGTTTAGGACTTGCGCAGTAGATCAAATTCCAGGCTTGGCGTGACTTCATCTTTGCGGATAGCGCGGATCCTGCCTACCCAAAAAGTGAAGTAAGAATGCAGTGATAAATAAAAATGTAGGCAAATGTTTGATTTAGGTGAGGGACTCATCTTCAACTTAACCGACACCCTAGGGAAGTACTGCCATTTCTGCGTGTGGGTTTATGGTCGAAACAGCAGCACTCAGACTTGATATACCTAGTCAGTAAGAACCAAATTTCACCTTGCAAAATCCAGGGTTAAGCATATTTACTTCCGGAGGCTTTATATGTAACACATTTCGGTAAAACCTTTCTGCTATGGTCCCTGATGATGAATCCGCGACGAATTTTGAAATGTCGGGCGAATAAAACTCCTGTATCAGAGGTCATACCTACTCCTTCTCAATATTTACTTCCGGCTACATGATACACCAGGGAGGTAATCGGCGCATCAGTGATTCCCCATAGCGCTCCCCATGTGGTTTCTGGTAGACAGTCCAATTTTGATGTTTTTTTTTCTATTTTCCCCGAAATTAATCGCTGACTGCGAATAAATCAGTCTGCATCTATAGATCTTGGTTCAAACTGAGTTTTTCCAAGGTAGCGATTAATTTCTAATGAAGTTAAAAGGTCACCATATGCTCATTTTTTTTCAGAAGTAATCATACGCTTGCCTATGACAAAAGTGTATTTTCTCATTGTGGGGTTCAAAAAGAAAAAGCAATATGACGGCTTTGACGGTATAAGCAATCGCGTTACAATCGTGTAAGGGACCGCTTAATTTCGGTGAATATTCGCATCCTGATACAGCACGTGTACTTAACCCGAATTACTTCGGCCAATAAAATGGATGCGCGCGTTTGGCTTGGTGCCTCCTTTGCTGTCCCATGTCCTAGTTGTGGGGTCTTCTTTCTGTTGATAAATTAGAAATTTGTAGACGTCATGTTTAAGAGAGCATATAGGTGTTAAGGTTAAGAAGGTTTACCCTAACAGCTACAATCTTCAAGGCCCGGTTCCTTAGGAGATGGGAGAAGAATTAGGAAGGCCAGATTATTAGGAATAGTGCACTCTGCAGAAGGATAGGAGAATAGATGGAAAGAGTGTTGGCTCGCGGAGTAGTGCGTCCGTTCCCTATTCGGATCGGTTCCGGAGTGAGGCTTGAAGGCAGACACCACATTGTTGTCTTTGTCCCACGGATTGGGGCCAACCTACTAAATGAGGTCAGTCTACTAAAGCGGGAATCTCATTGGATGGATTGAGGCCAAGTCACTGTTGGTTGAGGTCAGAATGGGGGAAACTTGGTGCGTGTGTTTGGGTGCGCGTCGGTTGCATCTG